CTGACTGCCGAGATTGAGAACGCCAAGTGCCAGGTATGTGTCAGCTGTGCCAAGACCAGAGCGGTAGGGGGCTTACTCAATGCACATATCCTGTTTGGATCTTACTGTTAGTCTACCCCCTGTTCATGTGTACAGAGTCCCTGATCATGATTACTTAGGTTGACCCAGTAAATCAAGAAAAAAATTTTTATTTGGGAGGTATTCCCAGCTGTTTGCAGACTAAATAGATCCAGCTAACATACAGAGACCGAGGGACCATTACCCATGTCTTTCTCTTCTTGGTCTTCAGAACTCCAAGTTGGAGGCAGCAGTGACCCAGTCTGAGCAGCAGGGTGAGGCGGCCCTCAGTGATGCTCGCTGCAAGCTGACTGAGCTGGAGGCCGCCCTGCAGAAGGCCAAGCAGGACATGGCCTGCCTGCTCAAGGAGTACCAGGAGGTGATGAACTCCAAGCTGGGTCTGGACATTGAGATCGCCACCTACAGGCGCCTGCTGGAGGGAGAGGAGCAGAGGTGAGTCCCTGCTTAGACTGCCTGCCTTCTACAGTTCCCATTTTCAGCTTCGGCCCTCAAGAGCCAACAGAAACTAGAGCCTTGGCTGACTGGATTGCAGCACTCTTGGGTTGGCCTTAAGTATTCGTCCCTCATCACATAAACCAGTGCCACAACAGTGGCCAGAGCCCTGGTCACCCCAGGACCCTGCTAGCATTAAAAACAAAGTGCCCTACCTTGGAGTCAGAACTCCTTTGGGTCCTTCCCCACTCAGCTCTTCTGAGATACACACCCTGCCTACCTTAGAGTTGCTGACCACCTCTGACCCTGATCTAGACACATCCATTCCCTTTATATTGCTGTGACCACGATACCTGACAAAGACAACTTAAGGGAGGATTTATTTTGGCTCACAGTTTCAACCCATCAGAGCAGCGAGGATGCAGCTGAGCTCCTCAATATATGGCAGTAGGAATGTTCAATGAGGCTCTTCACACATAGTAGATTGGGCAGGAGAGACAGAAAGAGATCAGCGGCCAGGTCCAACCTTCAAAGTTCAACTATTAGTGACCTACTTTCTCCAGCTGAGCCTCAATCTAAAGGCTCCATAACCTCCCAAAACAGCAGTTGGAGACCAACCTTTCGAAGCATGAGCCATTGAGGCCATTTTCAATTAAAAGCATAACAAGGATCTCCCTCTTCTTAAAGCTGAGCCTGTCCATGTCTGTCACATACAGTTGTTCAGACTGTACACTGCACAGAGGTAGCCCAATGAAAACAAGCATTAACCCAGTCCAACCTCTGCTCACGAGGTAGTGTGCCCAGGATATGGCTGCCACCACTACAAAGGTACCTTTTTCTAAGTGATGCAAAAACATAAATACACATGGAAACTGACCTTGAGACAGACACTGTGGCACCAGAGGGCAACTTGATGCCTTATCTCATTCTAATTCAGTTTTCCTTCCTCCCCCTGTCTTTTCCCCACTCAGGCTGTGTGAAGGTGTTGGAGCTGTGAATGTCTGTAAGTACAGTGAACCCTGAAAGGAAAATTGTAGGTTGAACATCAGCAAGGATTTCCTGGGTATAGTCTTCAAAATATGGGCAAGTGTTGATAACTCTCAATAAAAGGGACTAGGTTGCTCATGCAGCAGGAGAGACTGCAGTTAGCTCACAGCATGACTGAGGTTAGAAAGGCGAATAATGTCACTCCAAGAGCCCTCAGATATCTCAGTATAATGTCCATCTTGTAGAAATGAGGACACTGAATCCACAAAAAAGCTTATAAGAGCTAATGTAGGCCCAGTACCCAGGCCTCCTGGTTCCCACCCAGAGGCTTCCCTGCACAATTTACAGACCAGAACTAGAAGCTCTCTGTGGCCATCCTTGAAGGACTGGAGCAACCAAACTGACAACAGAAAGTGACTGGATGGGCTAGCTCCAACCAGGCCTCAAGGCCCTGCCTCTGTTCCCACAGGTGTCAGCAGTTCCCGTGGTGGGGTCGTGTCTGGGGACCTGTGCGTGTCAGGCTCACGGCCAGTGACAGGCAGTGTCTGCAGCGCCCCATGCTCCGGGAATGTGGCCGTGAGCACCGGCCTGTGCGCACCCTGTGGAAGCGGCTCCTGCTACCAGGGAAGGTGTTAGTGGCTAAGAGAGAGCCTGGGGGTGGCCTGCCCCACAAGGCTGAGCAGCGCAGCCTCAGGGGCTGCTGCCCTTGTGTTCTGAGAATATGCCCCCCATCCCCAGCCATCCCTCTGTTCAGCCACCCGCTGGCAAGGGACCTGCCACTGATAAATCAGCCTCCTGCCTCAGGTCCAACCCTGCAGGAAAAGGACCTCCTTACCCTGAGGTGTCCGGTGCTGCTTCCTGCATCTCTGGCCTCTAAGCCCTGTTATGCAATAAACCATGGGCCTGCTCCCAGAATTGTGTGGGATGTCATGCTTTCTTGGGATGAACTCATGTTGTCACCTGGGGATCAGATCACTGGCTTTGTGATGTGGCCTGAGGACTGAGGCCACTGTGCCCTGTTCTTGAGGTGGACATATACAGAGCCTATCCCCCACAAACAGAGTTGCCCTCTCTCCACCTGCCACACCAGTTAGGCTGTGTGGGTTTGGGGCTATGCTTCCAATCCTGTCCACCAATCACAGGGAAATGTGGTCATTGACACCTGCTCCTTCTCCTCCTCCCTCTCTTCATCTGGGGTGGCCTCAAACAAGCCCTGTGACTGGCAGAGAGAGACAGATAGATAGATGGGCTTCTCTCCTCCAAATGGTCCTGAGGGAAGCCAGAGGCCATAGGCTCCACTGCAAGGAAGGGTGTGTGTATGTGTGTGTGTGTATGCATATATGTTTTATATATATATATGTGTGTGTATGTGTGTATGCATATATGTTTTATATATGTGTGCATGCATATATGATGTGTGTGTATGTGTGTATGCATATGTTTTATATGTGTGTGTGTATGCATATATGATGTGTGTATGTGCGTGTATGTGTGTATGCATATATGTTTTATACATGTGTGTGTATATGTGTGTGCATATATGTTTTATATATGTGTGTGTATGCATAGATGATGTGTGTGTGTGTGTGGTTCTCATCCCTTCCTCCACATCCCACATACCCTTGCTCTCTGTACCCCCGACACCACGCAAACATACATCACAACAGAAGAGTCACCAGCTACCCTGAGGTGGCCACCTTGTATTGCTCTAACCCCACACCCCATTGCCACTGCCACCTCTCTGCCTTGTCCCCAGCACCACAGTATCTCAACCCCAACACTGGATGACCATTCTGTCCCTCTTGGCCTGACCTCACTGCTCCCCCAAAGAGCTCCAGAAGAAAGACCCAGAAAAGTCCTGGACCTGGCCTGGAGAGAACAGACCTCAGACGGCCTCCAATTCCACACATCCACCACACTCCTCCTTACCCCAGGCCTGCCTCTGCCCAGGGCTCCTCCCCCATCTCCTCACATACTCTTAAGGTTGCCCCTCACTCACTTTCTAGAAAGACCTCCTGGGCTCCATACAAAGTTCCCTGTCACCTTCCCTGCTATGCTCCCTGGCCCAGTCTCAAATCCCCAGCCTTTCCCTCTTGCCTCATAAACTTCACTCACTGGCTCACGTCCCTCACCCTACAGCCTCACCTCAAGCATCCAGAGCCTCCTCTGCCTCTGCAGCCTGACCCTGGACCGCTGCACTGTCTTGCCCTGAGCTACTGCTGTGGCCACAGTCCTACCTAGTTAAGCCTGCAGCAGGGCTAGGTGTCTGGGGACCGTCACTGCTTGCCCTGCCCGGCTGCATGCCCTGCGCCTCAGCCCCACAGGACTTCTCTCCCACAGCCCTGATCCAAATTCAAATTCTGCCTCCCCTTGCTCCTTCCTACTTCTCCCCATAGCATGTTCCCATCTCCTCTGCCAAGAGCAGCACCTAGTAAGGCCGCAGTCCTGCCCAGGCCAGAAGCCAGTGACCTTCCAGGCCCAGGCCACTCCTCAGATTCACCCCCGAGTAGTTTCCTTACCTGCCTCCCACAGAGCTCTAACCCACTCCTTCCTCCCCTGCTGCCACCAAAGCACAGGCTGCATGTGTGTGTCTTTCAACATGCTCAGAACTTATTGAATAACAATAAATTTATATGCTACATCATTTTTCTTGGCTGCAGTTTATTAGTCAGTAATCCTGATTTACCTTGATAGTGTGGCCATTGGCAATCACAGTTGATTGGTTGGTTGGCCAGCTGGCTGGCTAGCTGGCTGGCTGGTTGGTTGGTTGGTTGGTTGGTTGGTTGGTTGGTTGGTTGATTGTTTTTGAGACAGGGTCTCATGTAGCTCAGGTTGGTCTCCAATTCACTATGTAATTAAAAATGGTCTTGAATACCTTATCTTCCTGCCTTCACCTCCTGAGTGCTAGGATCACAGGTTTTCACCACCATCCCTGGCTTATAGGATCTTTTATTCTAAACTTAATTACTAATGTTACCCTTAATATCACAAACACGTTCACACAGTAATAGACATGAAGTTACAGGGTGGTTACAGAAGAGTTAAAGAAGCCACAGAGTTAGAGGGGCCTTACCGGAAGCAGGGACAGAGGTAGCCTACACGCAGTGTCTGTAGGCAGTTAGAAAAGATAGTAAAGAACCCAGCTGAAGAGCTGCACCAGCTGAAAAGGCACAGAGCCTCCCAGTGCACCAGCAGTCCACAGTCTGGTGAGGTCCAGGGTTAGGGCTGCATGGACGGAAAACAGTTCAAATGGATCCTGTGGGGAAAAAAGTGGGGACTGTGCTGAGCTGAAGTCCTGGAGCCAGTTGGAAGTTCTCTGCCTATCAATCTCTTGATACACACATCAGCTGACCAGATGACAGAATTCTGGAACTGTGGTGATCCAGGTGAGGGGTTGCATCTCTCATTGTTGTAGTGTGTTTGATAAGTCCACAGGCCTATTTTTCTGATGTGGTTTTAATCTGCCCGTGTGCCCATATGTTCACCATCTACTCTGACAAGTTCATAGCTGACACTTTTTAACTTACATGAATAAGTTATTTACCATTGTGTGTTTCGTGGTCAGTGCTGGACAGTTGATTATATCTAATGTCCATGTGCACAATAAGGTACAGAATGATCCTGCCTCATTATCTGCACCCAAAATGGAGCTAACTGCTATTTCGTAAAATGGGATCACCCAGGTCAAGGTTCAGCCTGAAAGCCACTATTTCACACAACTCCGAGCAAGGCATGACCTGCTCTTCACACCCACAGGTGCGGCAGTCAGAGACCTCCACGGGACATGAGGCCTGCCTTCCATGGGCCCTCAGCCCTTCAAGTGACCCAGGCTCTCTAACAGAAAATGCTAGCCCCTCACATCTGGCTCTGTTCCACCATTTAGTGGCCTCGGTGCTCCAGGTCCCCACTCTAATTGGTTCCCCTGCCCTTCTTTCCGTTGTCCCTGTCAAGTAGGGGGACAGAAGCTCTGTGTGGACTTTGCAGTTCTTCACTTCTGAAACTACTCTAAGTTCTTCTCTAGGACTTTGATTCTTCTTCCCAATGATTTCAAGAGGAGACCTTAAGGACTGGCAGCCGTGGAGGCCATCATGGTGCAACACAGGGAAACCCAGGAGGCCACCAGGCCTCTGAAGGTGACACATCATCTTTCTACCCTACCAGCCCAAGGGTCCAGACGCGGCTGATGCTATGACATCGTCTTTTAGAGATTCTGGTGCTGAGTCTCTGGGCCTGCCTCCTCACCACCACCATCACCTGTTGCTATATCCTTTTCCTAGGTAGACATGAACACACATCTGTCTATTTACCTAGTTAGGGCACCAATGACAGGCAAAAAAAAAAAAATCCACTCAAGTCTACTTGGTGAACCAATGGATTTATTGAGGTTACATACAGAAGTGTGGGTGACTCAAAGGCAGCTGCATCTCCGGAAAGCCCACCCAGCATGAGTGCTAACTCCCAAAGCAAAGCTGCATCCCAGAGCTCTTTGCCCAACTCCCAGTTCCACCACAACTTCTTCTCCCCAGCCATTGCTTTTTGCTTATATAACCTTGGGTAAGGGCCTTGGTGAGTCTTGTGAGTTGTCTGAGCCCTTTAAGTGTCTGTGTCTTCCTGAGTTTTGTGAGCCTTCCTCCTTCTAGGAGGTATGTTGGTTCCAATTTGGGGAAAACAGCTGCACAAAATCTGTGCATGGCAGAAGGGCTCTGCAAGCAGCACCGAGCCTAGAGGTGGAAAAAAAGGACAGGACAAACCAGGGATAGCAACCTACTCACCCAGAGGAAGCAATGCTAATGCTGAGGCCTGAAGGAAGACCAAGAGTTTACATCTGAAACATAGGAATCATAGGACCCCAAGTTCTGGACATAAGCTTGAGTTTATTTAGGTGAAGAAAGGAGCTAAAGCTATTCCAGTGTGCAGGTCATACATACACCTCAGCAACCACTCAGTTATCTCGGTAAGTAAGCTCAATAAACTCATTGGTTCCCCAGTAAAACTTTAATCAAACGTTGGCTTGACACTAGAACCTTGGAAGGGAATGAGCACTGCTTAGCATCCCCAGGAAAAGAAGTCTCACAACACATGGAAAATTTGTTAATGCTATTATGTCTCATAATTATTTTTTAAAAAATGAGACTGTAAAAGGTGTTAAAAGGATATGGGAATGGAGATATTTTCCAAAATAGAAAAAATGAGAAAGCCTAAGCAATTGATGAAGGTCTGTTGGTTTGTCATGATGTATAAAGGATGAAGCAAAAATAAAATGCACATAACCTTAAATATTATA